AAGCCGCTATCCATTACTACACCGTGCCTCCTATTACATATCATATATATTATATATTTATCAGGCCGAGAATTATTCTCGGATTCTCCTGAGTCGTTCCTTCTAGTCCTCTCTATGAAATATCGCTGCCGGCAGGTCCTCCAGATGGCGTCCAGAGTCATCTACAAGTTGGTCAATGTAGGTGTAATGAGGTCTTTCAACCGATCTTGGGGTTCCATGCAGAGGGGTAGTACATTTCCGAGATGGCCCTCCGTGGCGTCCTCGACTGGTCCCCATTCACCCAGCACTATGCGATGCGTCTCAAAGCATTTCTGTGCAGCTACAGCCTGCAGTTAGCCTCTCTATAGTGAAAGACCGTCCTTGCGTGACGAAGAGTCACATCCTTCATGAGGTAACCCTGTTAATATGCATGGACATACACAGAACGCGGCGGATCTAGAGGACTCTAACATCGATAAAAAAAAATCCCTCTATTCTTTACGGGGTGTTGTAGTTCCTGGGGCGGTCATCGATAAACGGATGTTCTGGCAGAGAAAACCTAGTAGCTTCGTGTAAAATCATCCTGCACAACAACCCGGAAGGTGCATTGGTCTATTTGGTGGAGAATCTTAATACATCTATAATAGCGGCGCACATAGATGTCATTAGCCATCGAAAGATTCAAATGTTGAAATATATATATATATATATATATATATATATATATATATATATATATATATATTAAAATTAACTGATTTAAAATATGGTTTCTTCGCTACACAGTAATTACCATGTTTCCAAAACAGGAATGACCATGTTTCAAAAACCGTAGCTAAAAACTTCAAATTCAAATATATAATTACATTAAAAGCATTAGTTCTTTTTCAACTTCAAGCGAATTTTGGATTTTTTTTTATGCTTTGTAAATTTACATTGAAAACTGTTTTGTAAAAAAGTCAATTACAGTGGAACTTTAGATGATGAAATCATGCATCGGATTGCTAATGCTACTAGTGCTTTCGGCAAACTTCGCCATTGCTTGTGGCATGAGCGGGGGTATTCGTTAAGTTAAACTTCAAGATATGACATCTAACGTAGACCTGTTTAACAGGTAAAATAATGGAGGAATCGAGACTTTATCATACAGTCTCAGTTACGGTGGACTGTTCATGTCTTGATGACAGGATACCCAAGATCCTAATGTACAACCAGTTAGATCAGGGCTACATGAATGTAGGACGCCCATGGCTAAGATACAAAGACAAGCAGAAAAGCAAATTGTCAGCAGTCAATATACCACATGACGCCCTTGAGCGCTTACCTTTGGAGCGGGTAGAATGGCGATCAACGTGTTTTAGTTGACTCAACAATTTTCAATCTGCTTGTCAGAATCATCTTCAAGAAGGTCAGCCAATCTAAGAGTGATCTCATCTCACAATCCTCACACTTGCTCCATATATGTGGCCTCCTTTGTAAATCACTAGCGGGTCTTAAATGCCACTTAAAAAATTTCAATAACTGAATCAATTGGTTAAGTTGCCAGAGCTTCATACGTCGAAACCGACGGGAGAGTCCATTATTACTATATATATATATTACAGAGTAAAAAATATCCAAATATGCGAGCATAAACTTATTTCAACCAGCGTTAAGTGCGTTCGATTTATTCAACCCTGGAAAATCAGAGATTTAGAATTTAACTTAGACAGAAGTCCCCAAATCGACGCCTCAACCAGATAAAATGTCTGAGTCGGTGGCGGTGGAGGACGGAAAGTATCTCTCTAAAAAAGGAAGAGGCTTGATAGATGCAACCCAGATATTAACCTTATAACCCTAAGTTAGGGTTCTATGAAGAATGAAGTGTTGAATTGAAACTAAAGAAGGGCCGAAAAGGGAGTTTATATATAAACAACACCTTTAATATTATATGAAAAGAGTTTAGGTTCCCACTAGAAAATACCAAATTATGTATTTCTATGCTCTGTTATAATAAATACATTGAGCTCTCTTCGCGGATCAGTTATTACTAGGATCCACTTGGATCATATACCAACGGATCTCTTATATATATATATATATATATATATATATATATATATATATATATATATATGAGAGAGAGAGAGAGAGAGGGAGAGAGAGAGAGAGAAATGGAACGACAGAGAGACGCGGATTAAGGAATCGGAGAACCGAGTTCGAATTCTAGTCGAGTTTGTTCCATTCATTTGTGTGCCAATACTCTTTAGAAAGGCATAGATCCATCTCTTCTCACCATCACATCTATAGCCAAATAGCAGGACAAAGTGGGTCCTATAGCCTTGGTTATACATGGACAGCTTACTCAAAGTCCGAGAAAAGTCGTTTGGTGACCTTGGTTCTGTTTACATGGATGATTTCCAAGCAACGATAAACACGTGCATATAAGACGCTGGAAGCGAAAATCGCACCGCAGCTAATGACGTCACACATGACCACGCGAGAGTGAATTCGAGAAGTATTAAGTATGGGAAGCCGTTAGTATAAACCAATGGCTTCTGTTACCAATTATAAACATTTAAGAATATTTGTGGAGATTTCGTAGTTTATTTTGTTCAGGTTAGGTTTCAACTGTTTTATGTATATAGCTTCAAGAATTTTCAGTTTTTGTTTATTGTTTTCATGTTTAAGTATAATTATGTTTTCAACAAGGATTTTACGGAATTGTGTGTGCGGGCAGGCATGTTGTTTTAAATGCCTAAATATGTTAGAGTTTTCATTCAAATGTAATGTCAAGCGTCGTGAAACCGAGTTTGTGGTGTGACCAACATAAATATTATTTAATTTGTTGGAGATACAATCTCCCAAGGGGCACTTGAATTTATAAACTATCTTGGTTTTTTTTTTTTTTCAAATCGCTAACCGGGGGAGAAGAATCATATACAAATACAGGGTTGGTACAGATGGAATAAAATAAAATAAAATTCCGATAACCACTATTCTTAAAAGAGTGCTCAATACAGATTAAAGCAAATAATATTTATTTAAAAATCATAACATATGGATGTTATAACATCACTACAAAAATAACCATTTTGTTTCAGCAATATCAAAATTTGCAATCAACACCATCACTTGACAAGTGTTGAAACAAAATGGCTATTTTTGTAGCGATGTTATAACAGCCATATGTTATAATTTTTGAATATATATATATATATATATATGTCTGGACCTCCTCAAATAATTTTGAGGAGTATGAAAGTATAGAAATTTTAAATTACATCTAACTCACTCATGTCTTCTCTCTCCCCCCTCACTTCCTCACTTCGTTAATTTACATATGTTTAATACGGCCCGTCAAAAATGTGTAAATTTCTTTTCATTTTTTGTTTCAACTTTTGGAAGTAAAGTCTGATGATCCGCAGTCCTTTAAAAGGCTGTGGTGAAATAATTTATTACATGGAACCTTAAAGTGGTCTGTTTTTATTTAAATTATTTGCTCTGGATTTACATTGAACTCTCTGGATTTTATCCTCCTTGGGTTTACCCATACGGATTACCTAGTTTTTCCTAAACTATATATATATATATATATATATATATATATATATATATATATATATATATATATATTTGTATATTTAGGCAGCAATCCTTCCTTTATGCATGTTTCATTAAAAACGACAGACATGGTACTACGGTTGAGCTTTTTTATTTAATGGCTAAAGGTATAGCCGAAAGCGCTCGGAAATATAGAACATTCGGACAGTTCTTACACACCCTTTGTCTAGAAAAGAAAGCTCTTGTCAGAACACAAGAAAAATTAAATAAAAAGCTCAACCGTAGTACCTTATCTGTCGTTTTTAATGAAACATGCATGCATATATATATATATATATAATATTTCATAAGCAGAGAAAGCGGAACAAGAAAAATATTCCTGTAAATCTTTATTATTTTTAAAGAATTACCCTCTCTCTCTATATATATAACCGTAAAACTTATTTAAAATCGTATCGCTACGATATAATAATGCTTGTATAACACAAGCACCATTATATCGTAGCTGGAGCATCGAGGGTTATATTATTGAAAAAGAGCACTCAGAGACATTGAAAAAAACAATGGAGTCATTTATCAAACTTATACTTTGAGAAACTTTCGCACTGAATGCTAAAAATTTGCGCTGCAGTAATCAAGGCTGAAGGAGGTTATTTTGAAGGTTGCCTATAGCATCCAGTGCTATAAGGCAGAGCTGGGAGACTCTCACTTGAATCACTGCCGCTGTTGCTAAATCTTATGCCAGGAAGGCGCTGACAACACGAGTCACCTTGCCCCTCTATCTCTCAGGGTCTTGGTGGAGCGCCAGAAGGTCGTCCAGCTTAATCTGATGGAGGCCCTAGTGGTCGGCCTACCAGTGACTGCGTGGTCTGCCGCGAGCTCGTCGCCAGTTTGCAGATGGCGGGTTGAACTGGTAACTGGCTTTGGTAGGGTAATTCTTTAAAAATAAAAAAGATTTACAGGAATATTTTTCTTGTTCCGCTTTCTCTGCTTATGAAATATTTAATATCAGTTAATGCTCATCAGTGTTATTCATATGCGTCTGAAGAAGGCGGAAAGCACATAGACTGAAACGTTGTGATAATAACAACAAAGATGAGGACATTAGCCCGAATATAAATAATCATACTTACTTTTGCGCTGCTTGTTTCTTATATTTTCATTCCACTAAACCAGATTATATGACTTTTCAGCACTACCAAGCCCAGAGATCGAACCCGCAACTGCTAGAAACCCAGATATGTTCTAACCAAGGTTAAAGATGGCCAGAGGATAAAACCTGAAGATGGCCAGAGGATAAAATTGCCGAAACGTTGTGAGTATAACAAGCAAAATGAGCATGCTGGGCTGAATAGTAATACTTTTAATAATGATAATTCCTTATTTAAAATAAATCCTACTTAAATTATAGATATTGCCAGTATATATATATATATATATATATATATATATATATATATATAGAAAGAGAGCGAGACAGAGAGAGAGAGAGAGAGAGAGAGAGAGAAGAGATAGATATCTGTCTATATCTCTGAGATGAGCTATTATAATTACTTGCATTATTTACATCATTCAGACTGTTATCCTCATCTTCATTGCTATATTCACATCGTTTCGGCCGTTGTACGGTCCGGCCTTCTTCAGGTGATTGGAATTTCGAACCGAACACTTTATTTGTAGATTGTTCTAGTTCCACGTGACATGCCTCTTCTGGACCTCTCAGTTATTTCCCTTTAACTTAACTCTCCAAGTTTTTGTGGCCTGGTATTGAACTCACAACTTTTTGAGTCTAGTCACTGGATCTAATCAAAGTCTTTATCCATTGGACCACGTGTCCTTGAGGCACGTGGAACGAGAACAATCTACCCCGGTGGACGAAATAAAGGGTTCGGTTCGAAATTTCAATCACCTGAAGAAGGCCGGAGCGTACAACAGCCGAAACGTTGTGATTATGGCAATGAAGATGAGGATAATTGTCCGAATAATCAGTGTACGATATAGGCTGATGTATGTGCTCAAAGAAATGTATTCATATTCGTTTAATAGCAGATAGTGTTCATTACTTTAACAGCAGTGGGGCGGTGCTGCCTCTGTGGTGAATCCCCGGTCACTAGCTTTTACTTACGCTTTGGCCTCGAGCCACGAACAGCCTCAAAACTAGAGATGATATGTTACGATGATAGATAGGGCAGAATGCGAAACATGTCCATTTTTAGTAAATAGGTTTAAGTATGCCCAATCAGTGTGGCCCAAAAGGCAAGCATGTTTCGGGAACGAAATCTTGGTCTTCAGGCTATAATTGATATGGATGTAGAGAAGTACCAAAACCCGAAGGTATTTCCTAAGTTTACTTTGGTTTGCTACAAGTCTCACCTCTGCTCTTTCGAGCAGAAGTAGATGTTATTCAGTTGTTTCCTGTTTAGGATTGGGTTTCCGGTTCCTTCTAAAGTCTGCTTCAGCTCTGTACCCCACCACCACCACGTCTGCGACAGAACTCTGGAATTTTGTTCACTAAATATTTATTTTATTATTTAATTTAATTTAATTTAATTTAATCTCTCTCGTCTGCCAGTAGTTGTTGATACGCTCGCCTATCGCCCGGTTCACACCCCTCCCCGATATCGAACAGATCTTTCTAAAAACCTAAATTTCTAAATCTTTCGACTCTATTCCCCTAACGTTTGTACTTTCTTACGCTAACACAACTCCACACAAGTAACCCTCTACCTTGAGTGGCTCTTGTGCCTAGTATTGGTTGAAAATTATTTTTAAAAAAAGCTACAAGAATGGGACACGGTGGGAAGTGAACTGGCTACACAGTAATAATAGTCTGCTAGATAAGTTTTTTGCTCAGCACTGATGTCCCTCTCAAGATTGCCAGGTTGAACTCGCAGTGATTTGGGCTAGCGAATTGAAAGCTCATCGATACTAAATTTTGAAAATATTTTCTTCTCATTAGTAGCCTAAGTTATTTAGTCCAAGAAATATAAGTAGCAAAAATTCAAAATTTAGTAGCGCCAAATTTAGTAAGGTCCCAAATGTAATCCTTACCTTGGTTTTCAAAAGTAAAGAAATGTAGAGAATCTATTGTTAGTGGGGGAATCTGTTTATAAGTTGGTTGTGAAACGCAAGTGATCGCCCACTTAATGACCACTTGTCCGTCCATCAAATATTGATCAAATTCTAAAGCCGTCCTGGGTAAGACGATAAACTACGTCCGGCAGCAAGGCCTCTGATCAGGAGGTTTTGATAAGCGTAGAACCACCTCTTAATTGCTGGTGTTTCCAGGTCCACCCTGATCCGGGGTGGTAGCACCTGTTAGGATCCGAGCTATGGGCAAATAGTTAACCCTAGGGTCAAAACACTGTGAAAGTGTAAAAATACGTTTTAATACCAGAAATAGTTTTTTGTAAAAAATTATTACCAGCAATACATGAAAAAAGAAAAATTACCAGCAATGCATTTTCGAAAAAAAATATTACCAGCAATAAAAATTTTGTCGACATTAAATAACCCATTGAGGTGTTGATATGCCGTAAAACAAACCAAACCCAAACAAGCCAATCAAGTAGTAAAGTTTGAAAGTCATTTATTAGTAAGCGAAGTTAGATTATTAAAAATCTAAAATAATAGTCCGTTTTCTCTCATTTTCCGTCTGTGGAACTCCCTTCCCCTTGCTTGCTTTCCTGGCGCACACGATCTTCAAAAATTGAACTGCAAGGTCAATCGCCATCTTCTGTCTTTCTGAAAGCGTTTCTTTTATTTTTCCTTTCTCCTTACAAAAGTCTTCTCATTCTCTTTAACTCTCGATAACGGCCTTGCGTCTTAGTCGCATTATCGCCTTGTTTGTTTTGAAACAAACTTTATTTCAACATTTTCTTTCAGATAAAAGAAAAAATAACTTGGAAAATCTTTTCATAAACTCGATGATGAAAATCAGGATTTCATTTTTTGGCTTCGTCAATGTTCAGAAAATAAAAAATAAACCAGCGAAGCAAAATATAGAAACATTATATATATATATATATATATATATATATATATATATATATATATATATATATATATATATATATATATATATATTACTTATGGGGCACCCTGAGGCGGTGTAATGGTAATTAGAACAATTACGACTGAGTAGTGAGTTCGATCCTCACTAGGTGCCCCAAACTTTCGGCCTTGTGCCACATCTGAGCTACGCTTGGAAAATCACTATTACTTGAGTAAAGTACGCAATATATAAGAGTTCGTTATATAGAGGTATTTTTTAATTATATATTAAATTTATATTTTTTTTTTTGAAGAGGTTAAAAATCATGAATTTTCGGTGACAGGTAAATTATTTTGTGGAGGGGGTTAAAATTCATGCAAACAAATTCATGGGTCGCCCTATACACGAAGTCGACTCATACAGGAATATATATAGTAATTTGAGTTTCTCTTACCTGCTCGTTGACGTTATTTTTCCCGCGCGGGGCATTGACGGCACTTTTTATGCCCATCGATTCGCTATCGATGGTGCCAACCAGTTTTGGCACGTGGCTACTGCAGTAAATATCCGGTTCGTTGTGCTGATCCCAGTGGAATGTCCGCAGACTAAGCTGCAGTCCACACACGCGGCATCGGAAGCAGCCGCGGTGAAACAAAACACCAATGTCAATTCTTTCCAAAGGGTAAACCCGTTTGCAGCACCGGTAACAGGGGTCCACCTGTAACGAACTGCTCCTGCTGTCCGAGCATTGGCTATCTGATCCGTTGTCGTAAGCCATTCTGGTGTCTTCAAATCGAGGCTGATTTTGCCGATTCGCAGACTGCGAGTAATTGAAATTTTTGTCCGCTAGAGATGAACACATAATACATAACAGTTAATTTTCAAGATCTTTCTCCATTTTTTTTTTAATTTATTATTAAAACCCTTACTTTTTTTCTTTATTTTTACTTCTTTATTTTTTCTTTTTTTTAGTAAAGGTGTTTATCGATTCTTCTAGTTAGAGAAACGTTTTTGCATTAACGATTTTCCTTATCGTATCTGGATTATTGATATTTACAAAGTCAAACTTTAATCTTAGTCTCCCACAAGATCAATTCTTTGTGGCATTGTTATTGCTCAGCAATCATCACCTGTTTGAATAAAACGCTTCATTCCGCTGAATTCGCGTCAATACGGGATGCAATGAAATCAGCTGGGAACTGAATCCATTCGGGTATCTCCTCTTGTTGATATTTCAGCCTGTCAAGATCGAATCTGGCAATTGCATACCGATATCAAACGTTGAGATGAAAACTTTGCATCGCGGTTAATGGTCGATTTGCCGAGTTTTAAGATTCAATTCTTCCATCAAAAGTTAACCAGAAAAGCCGCTTCAACTTAATATCTCCAAAGAACGAAAAAGAACCGCTCATTCCCCCCGTGAGGTGCACTTTGGAATGACAATCTCGAAGACGTTCGCTTGTGTGTGGGTGGTGGTAATGAGAATGAATGTAGTGAGGATGGTGGCAGTGGTGTTCATATGTTTGCGTGCGTGCGTGCGTGCGTGCGTGCGTGCGTGCGTGCGTGGTTGTGGTGGTTAAGGTTATTTCACTGACCAAAATTTCCAAAATGTTTTCGTTATTTTTTTTTTTTATAATTATATTAGTTTTCTCTTTTTAGTTTATTAAAAAAAAAAAAACGAAAAGAAGAGATGGGAGTGCTGTTTAGAAATAAGATTTTGATCTTAAATGTAAGTTATTGTGTAATAGTAAAGATCTCCAACCCCATCCATACCCCGATGTGTTCCCGTGCGTAAAAGGAGTGGAATCTGAGAAAGGACTTTAATAGCGTCGAATAAAGAAAGACCTTATTGGGATAAAAGATATGACCCTATATATTATGATATTATTTAATATAAATGAAGCGATAATTAATGGAAACTTGGAGGACCCTGAATTTGAAAAGTGAAAAAGAAAAATAAGGAATGTAGGCTACAGAAAAATATTCATGCGTATTTGTAAAATTTAAATGTCTATCTTTTGTTTGTTTGTTTGTATTTTTTAGTATATATGATTGTGCGTATATGTGTGTATGTGTTTCTCTGTATGTGTTCATAAGAGCATACGTGTATTTGTCTATACGCGTTTCCGTGTGCGTTTTTGTGTGTATGTGCTAATGTTATTGTGATAATGTCTGAATGTAAGCTTGTGCATGTACGTGCGTGGCTGAGTATGTATTTGTGTAAGCATGTGTGTGCGTGTAATTTAGGGAGCGTCTTTAAGTCTGTACGCGTGTGAGTGTGGGTTTACTTTTAGTGTGTGGGGGGATGTGTGTGAATGTTAATGTGTGCGTGAGAAAGATATGCGTGTACATCTGAGTGTCGGTGCATAGTGCGCGTCTGTGTGAGTGTGGATGTATGTGGGTGTGAGTAAGAGAGATGTGTGCGTTTGGATGTCGATGTGGTGTGTGTGTGTGCGTAGTGTGTATTAGTGATTGTGTTTCTGTGTGTTTGTGTGGGTGTTGATGTGTGTGTAATGTGTGTGTGTGCGTGTGTTTGTGTGCGTGTTCGCGCCCGCGAAGAATCAAGTTGAAGCGATAGCCCGAGTCGCAGTCGAACTTATAACTCGCTTGACCGTAACTGCGTTTTTATCTGCGCGCGCAGTTGACGCTTTCCGTTTAAATTCGTATAAGCAAGGAAATATGAAGAACAAAAAAATATTTTCATTTCGCTCTCAAATCAGCAAAGGGAAAACCCCAAAAAACACATTAACTCGCAAACGTGACTTTTTTTCTTTTGTTTTAAATAAATATCTGACTAGCAAATGGTTTCTCATAGCGTTTTGTTTTGTATATATATATATATATATATATATATATATATATATATATATATATATATATATATATATATATATATATATATACACACACACACACACGATTGATGTTACTAACAACGCGACTGACAACACCGGGTCGAAGCGTCGTGGCGACTACAGAAACTGTGACGTCACGACCATATTTCACAAGTTAGGTGACCGTCGTTTCTGACTCATTCACAGTAAACATTTATCCCTAAAAAGCATTTTTTTGGTTGGAGTCTTTTTTTTTCTTTTTCATTCTTACTTTATAAAAATAATTCCACCAAATTTTATAAAACTTTTCTTAATAGTTAAAATAAGCCTTTCAAATTCTGTGGCGATTATGTACGAAAAATTTCTTTATTTTTGTATTGTTATGTGGAGAAAAAAATTGTAAATACTTTCTAGATAACTAGAATAATTGAAATAAAGCCAAACTTTCCTCTTCAAAAAAAAAAAAAAAAATTGGGAAAAAAATGATGGATAAATAAACAAATAAATAAATTAATTAATAAAAAATTTCCAAAGCTTAACTTAATGAAATGCTCGTGTAGAAACGCTACGAGATCGCTTGGAAACGCATGCTTCGTGTTTCTATTTTTTTTCTTTTTAACCAAGGTGAACTTTGCTGTGTGCGTAGTAAATGTGTATCCGTTTGTGGAGAGTGTGTCTACGTTCGTAAAGTTCAAAGGTCTCACTTTTCCAATTCAACCTCCTTCTCGCCCCCTCTTTCTTCTTGGCGTGTTTATATGTATATTTCTACATCTGTATTTTTAACAATTATGCGTCTCCCCAATGTTTAAGCTAACACAGCCACCACCACCACCGATCTCGCATATTAGTAATATACAAATGTTTGCATTTATTTTTGCAGCTGCATGTCTCAGTATAAAACTAAACACAACACGTCTTCGAGACGGCAACAAGCAAAGAAGAAATGGTAAGCGTAAAGTTCAAAGTCTGCGAGGAATTTTATGCACTAATAAAACGTGGTGGGTGTTTTTGTTTTTGTGTATTTGTGAATCGCGTGTGTTTATGTGCATACGTGCGTGTGTGAGATGCGTCGATGTATGTGTGTGCATATTTGTGACTAAAACAGGTTTTGAGAATGAACAGTTGAAAGTGGATTTTCGTGAGGTGGAAATCACCAAAGAATAAGTGAGCTGTGAACAAGATGTGTGTGTGTGTGTGTGTGTGTATGTGCACGCGGATGCAAGTGTGTTCATATGTGTGTGCATGTGTTTGTATGTGCGCGCGTGTGTGTGTGTCTGATGTGTGTGCGGTTATTTTCTAAACGTAATTTAGTCTGGCACAAGATTACGATAATCGCTCATTCGTAGGTAAAAAAATCACAAAAACGATTTGGCTGGTGTGAGAAATGTGTAAGTTTGTATGTGTGTGTGTATATGTGTGTGTATGTGTGTGTGCACCCGCATATGTGTGTGTGTGTGCGCGCGCACACACGCATATGCATGTGTTGTGTGCACCCTTTTTTTGTGAAGAGTCTCTGTGAATCTCGCAAGTGTAGGTGAATTGTGTACAGGCTATATGCGTATATGTAAGTGCGTATGTGTTTATGCGTGTGTATGTGTGTGTGTGTGTGTGTGTGTGTGTGTGTGTGTGTGTGTGGTTATTTACTAAACGTAACTTAGTCCGGCACAAGGCCACGATAGTCGCTCACTCATAAGGATCGAAATCACAATGGGTGAAGTGGTCGGCGTGACAAACGCCATGATACGTGTGTGTTTGCGTGCGCTCGCGCGCGTGCGTGCGTCAACGCACCCACTTATGCTTTCATAAAGAAACCGCTTACTAGCGAGGGCATATGTGCATTTTCAAGCTCAACGTATAGAAATCCTAGATTCGCTGGAGATAAAATAATAAAGTAAAAGTGAGTGCACTCTTAATGCCGGTGTGTATTGTCTCAAAGCGCGGAAAACGATGTTGCAAAGTGAGGGGACAACGAAAAAGCATGAGTACTGATAATGTTTTATAGACGTGGCTATGTTTATTGACTCGTTTTTTTTTTTTTGTTTTGTTTTGTTTTAGTTTGTTTTTGTTTTTTTTGGTGGGGGGGTTCTTTATACGAACTATGAATTTATTTTTCCATAATTCGTAGATATAGATATATAATAAACGCCGATAAATAAATAAATAAAAGCTTAATAAAATAAAAAAAAATATACGCTTATTATTAGGTAACTGATTTCCTCACGTAAGGATGCCTTATAGATCGTGTTTTTTTTTATATACGTTTGTACTTGAGGCTAAGGGAAATTATGTGTTGGGAATAGCTACTAAGCGTATCTTTGGTTGGCATAAGGCCATCATAGTAGGTAACCCTTGAGGAACTCTGGGAATTAGCCAAGTAATCCACTAGCGGAATACCATGATACGCGTATATATTGCATGTATATATATATATGTGTGTGTGTGTGTGCGCGCGCGTCTGAGAAATTTGTCGTGATTGAATAAGTAATCTTTATAATGTATTGCGTACACACTATCAGTGGCTATTTTTGGTTGTTTTTAGTAGCATTGCTTTCGTTTTTTTTTTAGAGGAATATTTTTTAAAAACTTATTAAAAATCCGTAATTTTATTTTTTTTGTTATTTTTGTTTGTTTTTTGGGGATCTTTTTTTATTTTATTTCGTGCTGATAATTTAAAATAAATATTTTCCTCCTACTTTTCTTCAACCTCTGTTTTTAGTTTTTGTATCAGAGGCAAAAACAAAAATAAACAAATTCAACTTTACCGTTTTTCCTTTGACTTAAACGTATAAGCCTTTCTTTTCTTCTTTCGTCCATCCAAGTCTCTTTCTTTTACCGTTAAGATCCTCATAGTTAATTTAATTCTTTTTTGTATTTTTTTTTACGTTCCTCTTGAGGTTTTTTTTGTTTCATTTACTTTTTTTTTTATTCCGAAATAATTCATCTTTATTTCTTTTCTTTCTCCTTCCTCTTATCTTATTTCCGTAAAAGATTCATGTCTCTTTTCTCTTTCCCTTTCAGGATATTTCATTATTACTGTTATTAATTTTCCTATAATTATTTTTTTATGTATTTATTCCATTCTTCTCTCATTATTTTTTTTTTTTTTTTTTTTTTTTTGTTTTGTTTTTTTTTGCAAATGACGGGTGTGTCGCCGTCACGGCCGATCTCTGCCTTTTTCTCCCTTGTTTATATATATTTATTTCTCCATTCTTTAAAGAGACGAAGTATTCTTCTGTTGCAAACACGATTATATTCAAAATAGAATAAGCTTCCTTTTTTTTTCCTCTTTCTAACCCCTACTTTCAAACTCGTATAAAACGAAAGGAAACAATCAAATCCACAAAGAAAATTTCCACATCGAGAAGGCAGACAGACCAAAGACCTGTAAGTGATGGTTTAAAAGAAAAAAAAAACCACCAGAAAATTATCCAACTCACAGAGAATTATCACAAAGTTATTAGCGGTACCAATACGCATCTGTTTGTCTGTCTGTCTGTCTGTCTGTCTCTTTCTTCTCTATCTCTCTCACTCTCTCGAGCGCCCTCTCTCTTTACCTATATGTAAATCTGTTTTCATTCTCTCTCTCTCACTCTCTCTCACCTGCTCACTCTAGTGTCGTGCCTATTTACTTAAATGCAATGATAGCGAGACTACTGGCTCGTTCTGCACAGACACACACACACACACAAACACACAGATACACAAGCACAAACACACACACACGCACATGTACGCTACTACTGAGAACAATCGGGCACTCTATATGGCTGTGCCTATCGTCATCATCATCAGCATCATCATTATCATCAGCGTCACCGGAGCGATCACTTCACACACGATAACGACAGCGGGTTTGGTGATACTCTCCTTTCTCTAGTAGTGGTTGTTGTAGTGGTCGCCGAGACGATGGCAGCGTGAGCGTCGAGACTTAAGCATTTTATATCCACGGAAGCAAATGAATCGAGGGAGTTGGGCAGCATTACGAAAGGCGAGCGCGTATTATTATGTGATACGTAATGTCCTCCAGGAATATAAAACGGCATTTTGACGTATGCAATACGCGTGTGTGTGTGTGCGTGTGCGTGTGCGTGTGTCTCCCCCTCTCTATGTGTCTGTGTCTATATGTCTGTTTCTGTGGGTGTATCTGTGTGTATCTTTGTTTTGAATTTCTTGGACATACGTCCAAATAATCCAGCCTCCTATATTTCTCTCTTTTCAATCTATAACGAGTTTGTTTTACGTGTCTCTATCTGGGTTTTCGGAGTAGAAAAAAGCATTTAAGTTGTATCTTATATATATATACATATATATATATATATATATATATATATATATATATATATATATATATATATATATGTTTCATTTATAATTTTCATTTATATATATATATATATATATATATATATATATATATATATATATATATATATATATGTATATGAATTTTTCATTTATAACGTTCAAGCAATATATATATATATGTATGTATATGAATTTTTCATTTATAACGTTCAAGCAATATCGGTTCTAAAATATCATACATTGAGTGGTGTATTCCTGTCAGAACCTGACGATTGCATCGTGCATAAAACTCAAAGTTGTGATACCGGGGAGCAAAAAGATGTATATTTATTATTATTATTATTATATATATACATATATACACGAAATGGAATAGAAAAAAAGAGTTTAAGTTGAATTTATATACATATATATATATATATATATATATATATATATATATATATATATATTGTTACATAGCGACATTGGGATATATTATATATATATATATATATATATATATGTGTGTGTGTGTATGTGTGTGTGTGTGTGTGTCTGTGTGTGAGAAAGAGAGAGAGAGAGAGAAAAGTGACAGAGAGAGAGAGAAAGAAAGAAAATTTTCAAATGCTATAAGCTGGATTAAGTTAGATTTACGCACCCCTTACCCAACCCGAAAAAAAAAACCTTTTGGAAGTTTATTGAGCCGAGAACTTTTCTGCATCCCTCGTAAATAAACAAGCGCGTATGCGCACACACGCACAAACGTATATATGTCACATTAGCCAACGATATATACATATGCATGTATATATGTATACTTATGTATGTATATATATTTAATGCACATATATATATATATATATATATATATATATATATAGATAGAGAGAGAGAGAGAGAGAGAGAGAAACACACACACTCGCATTGGCTAGTATGTTGTCTATATTTCTCTATGAAATTTTATGTACGTGTGTGCGCGTAGATGCGGGGGTGTTTTAAACAAACACACGAACACATTTGGAACTTTTTTTATTTCCCTTGTGCATGTTAAAAGATTTCGTGCATAAACGTCGGTGCGTGGTTTGTGAATAGAAATGGAAGGTGATGAAAAATGAAAACGGCAATGAAAGACAATAAGGGATGAAGAACTCGAAATCGAGAGAATTACTGGGGCACCGATCTATAGGAAAAGATGGAGAAAGGCGTCGATAAGGTAACAGAGAAAGAGGAGAGAGAGAGAGGGAGGGAGGGAGGAAAGAGTCGGTAGCAGAGAAAGGGAAAGAAAGGAGAAAGAGAAAGGAGAGGCTAATAAGAGAAAAGGAGAAAAAGAAAAAGAAAGGCGAGGTTAACATAATAAAGAAAGAGAAAAGGAGAAAGAGAAGGAGAAAGAGAAAAAGAAAGGAAAGGCTAACATAAGAGAGAAAAGGAGAAAGAGGAGAGAAAAAGAAAGAAGAGACTAATATAATAGAGAAAGAGAAAAGGAGAAAGAGAAGGAGAAAGAGAAAAAGAAAGGAAAGGCTAACATGAGAGAAAAGGAGAAAGAGAAAAGAAAAGAGGAGAGGCTAATATAATAGAGAAAGAAAAGGAGAAAGAAGGGAAAGAGAAAAAGAAAGGAAAGGCTAACATAAGAGAGAAAAGGAGAAAGAGAAAAAGAAAAAGAAAGGAGAGGCTAATATAATAGAGAAAGAGAAAAGGAGAAAGAGAAGGAGAAAGAGAAAAAGAAAGGAAAGGCTAACATAAGAGAGAAAAGGAGAAAAATGAGATAAAAAGAAAGGAGAGGCTAATATAATAGAGAAAGAGAAAAGGAGAGAGAGAAAGCGAAAAAGAAAGGAAAGGCTAACATAAGAGAGAAAAGGAGAAAGAGAAAGCTTAAAAGAAAGGAATGGCTAATATAATAGAGAAAGAGAAAAGGAGAAAGAGGAGAGAGAAAAGAAAGGAGGGGTTAACCTAATAGAGAAATAGATGAGAAGTTGAAAGAGAAGAGAACGAGGAAAGAGAGGCTAACGTCATTGAGAAAGAGAAAATATAAAAGAGGAGAGAAATAGAAGGAGGGTCAACATGACAGAGAGAGAGAAGAGAAGGAGAAAGAGAATAGAAGGAGAAGGAGAAGAGAAGGAGAAAGAGAATAGAAGGAGAACGAGAAGAGAAGGAGAAAGAGAATAGGAGAACGAGAAGAGAAGGAGAAAGAGAATAGGAGAAGAGAAAGAGAAAGAGAATAGAAGGAGAACGAGAAGAGAAGGAGAAAGAGAATAGAAGGAGAAGAGAATGAGAAAGAGAATAGAAGGAGAAGGAGAAGAGAAGGAGAAAGAGAATAGAAGGAGAAGGAGAAGAGAAGGAGAAAGAGAATAGAAGTAGAACGAGAAGAGAAGGAGAAAGAGAATAGAAGGAGAACGAGAAGAGAAAACGAAAGAAGAAACTAAAAGAAAAGGAGAAGCAGAAAATAAAAAATGGAGGGATTAACCTAATAGATAAAGAAAATAAGGGGAGAAAAAGAGGAGGAGGAGAAAGAGAAGAGAAGGAGCAATGAGAAGAGAAAAAGAAAGGAAAGGTTAATATAATAGTGAAAGAGAAAAGGAGAAACAGATGAGAAAACGATAGAAGAGATTAACGTG